AGCAGATGTCAATGACGTCATCGCTTTCGAAACCACGCTCGCCGAGGTTTGCTTTGTCTCTCATTAGTTATTCATAGTGGCAGAGAACTCAACTTTTAACGATACGGAATGCATTTTATTTTTAGGGGAAATCCTTAAATATTGTTCAATTATGTACTAGACTGCAATAAGCGAGTTTTACTTCTGTCATCAATCCATAGTCAGGGTTTTCACTGGAGGGAGCTAATCCTGAAATTGATAGTCTCCTCCTCACTTCGACGCGGAAATTCCCATCGCAATTTTTCTTGCGCTGTAACACAGATGTCGCTTATTCTAGTTAGCTTTAGCTTGATTCGCTCATCAGGTAATGGTTCAGGGTTCAGGTGATGATTGACAATTCAAAATGTGCCGCGGAGCTTCGAAATTCGAAGAATCGAAGGGGGTTTCCTGAAATCTTTGTACAGTAATATACTGTACTCGAATTATATTTCTTATGTATCTCATCCACAGATACTCACTCCGGATGAAGACAGACAGAACTATACTGCCCTTTACAACAAGATGACCATTCCAGAGTTGCAGGCAATCAGCGGCAACACGCAGCTGGTGAGTTGTCGCGCCGAAAATCAATCAATACAAAGGGTATTTTTTCAAAGCATTTGCCAGTCAATAAACGAATGCAATACTGTATTTTTTCGATGCATTTACTATAGTACTTTAACAGCTGATTTGGCTGATCTCTACGTGATTTTCAGACGTTTCCAACATCCGTTAAAGATTTTTCAAATCCCGAATAGACTCATTCCAATTCTGTTTTATTTTCCCCCCTTTTCGGTGCCCATCATATTGATTGCTACTGCATGGAGCAAAAAAAATTCCTTGATGAATGCATGGATTCAGCAGTATCAATAACACCAACTAGTTCGTCATTTGTAAAACCCTGACTTATCTCTTCAACCCAAAACATAATTGCATCAAATTGAACGCATTCTGTGCGGGTTATATACCTATATTACGTTTTTGGTTTTCTACTTTCCCATTTTTAATTATTTGTGTTCACCATTTTACAGCGTCTGAGGGTTTTAAACAAATTATTGTTGCCCCAAAATTGTTGGATAAGGATTTTAAAATTATTATAGAGTTGTCCGTCCGATAAAGCAATTGTGCTCAAACGTGACTAGGAATAAAATTTGTGAAGTTCCGGGGCCATGAACAGAAATTTCGTTCAAGAGAAGTTCATCAGCAACTACATTGAACTTATTATTTTTTAAATTTAAAAGCGTAAAAACGCCTTTCAAGGTAGGAGTCTTGTTCAATAAACAAGACTCCTACCTTGAAAGGCGTTTTTCATTTATCCCTTTCAGACCGAGGTTAAAAAATTGCAAAAGCCACCCGAACTTAACTGGCTAAAGAAGGTGAAAAGTTTAATTTTTTGACAATGAATAAAAATTGTAGATATCTTTCAATAATAATGGAAATTGACTCGAATATTTTGAAGAAAAAAAAAACTACTCATCGTGTCACGCAGAAGAAAAAAAAACTCGACGGAAATCAAATCATCGTCGGCTGCGGACTCCGTAATTATTCAACGTATCAAGCGTAGCAAATTATATTCGTTCTTCGAATCAAAAGGAAAATAAACAAATAAACAGAGAAATTTCAAGACACATCCGAATACCTGCTATGCATCTATTCTCTCGTCTGTTTCAAGGCTAATGCACCAAAGATATGTTGATTCAAGTTAGGATTGTAAAACCTGAGTTCTCACCACCTGATCCAGGACTGGAAAACCATCTTCGACGCCTTGTTCGCCACTGTCAACGTTGAAATCGCAGCCGACGAAAGCCTCGTCGTCCAGGCGCCGGAATACATCGAAAAGTTCTTCAACACGTTCGCCGGAGGAGCAATTTCTTCACGCACAGTCGGTGAGATGAGAAGAAAAAAGAAAGAAAAGAAAAAAATGTTCATAGAAACTTTTGACAATAATTCCAAGTAAAAAAAAAAGAGAATGATTGGTTGTTATAATGAAAACAAATTCCGCGCAGCGAATTACTTGTCCTGGCGGTATGTGTACGGACACGCGGAACTGACGTCGCAGGCCATGCGAGACTTGTTCTTCCAGTTCGACCAAGTCGTGGCTGGGATCACGGAGCCTCAAGAAAGGTACGCTATAATACAGCGAGACCCCCACATGTGGACACATCAACCTGTTGACAATTCAACTGAGAGAAACTTATTTTCCCATAAAAAATTAATTAAAAACGGCCCAACATGAGGACACTGACTCAACATAGGGACCATTTTGTGATAAAATTGCAAATACATTTCAGGCCAAGTTACAAGAAACAGATATTTCCAACACTGAAAAAGATGCAAGAAAAGTTCTTGGACATATCTCTCACAAATTTACCATTCATTAAGCTAATTTTAAAAAATAACCTCCAGCATAGAGGGACCTCTACTTTTTTCACTTGAATGTCATTTTTTTAGATGACAACATTTCAATGTACAGTACAGAGATACACTATTCAATGCTCCAAATGTTCTTATTGAGTTGAAAATGTATTCACTAATTCATATTCAAGTGGCAAAAAATGTTTTCAGTGAATTCTGAAAAATATTTCTCCCATAAAACACCAATTAAATATTATATAACGTAAGTCTATGGGAAAACAAGACTTAGCTTAGGGACAATTCAACTTAGGGACACTCTTGATGCACCTTCTATGTCCACATCTTGGAGTCTCACTGTACTTTACTGTGCAACCATCAGGAATATAATGGAGATTGAATGAATGAACAGAAAGCTTTATTTTCCACTTTTCAGCATTCACAAGGTTCAATCAAAATTCCCACATCCAAACCCCCTCCCCACCCAACCCAAATCCATTCAAATGCATTCAAATCACTTCAGAATGGGAAACAGAGAAAAAAGCTGTACATGGATACCAAAATAAAAGGAAATTCATTCCACAATGTACAACTGATGTGTATGCGCGCACCCCCTTCTTTAATTCCCTGACATTGAAAACAAAATATCAGTAACAAGAATTGCAGCATAAGCCAGAATTATAGCAATTGCAGCAGTTACTGAACCCAGTAATGGAGACAGTCTGCAAGAATTTGATGAGCACATTTTTTTTAATGTATATTATATACCGGCTTCACTGCACACAATGAGTACTCTGCTGGTACTGAACTATTTTTCAACTAACCAAAAAATAAAAAATGAGGGGGAAACTGATTTCTCGGCATGTCTTATTGAAAAGGTGGTTGACCTGCTCAAACCTCGTCAACAATGTCTTGGGGTTCGCCGTCAGCGGTCCGTACGTGTCTCAGTACTTCCCACCGGCCGCCAAGGAAGAGGTACTGTACTGCAATTATACGAA